GTATACAACCGCGATCACGAACATCGATTTCAGACGATTTTTTGTCATTTTTAGAGTGGATTGTCTTAAAAAATTTGAATCCACTTTTTAAACAACACTTTTTAGATACTTTAATCTACTTTTAAACATATAATTCTAATAATTTCAATTATACAATTATTATTTAGATGATTTTTAAGTTTTTTTAACCTCAAAACATTAAAGTTTGATATTTTCAAGTGAAGAAATTTGATAGATTTTATAACCTGGCATGCTGTTGACTGTACATATTAAAGAGTAATTAGTATAGAATTACAAACAGTTTACAAACAGTTTAAAATAAATAAAAAAGTAGATATTATATTTTAAGAATAATAGATGCACATTATTAAGTGGGGCCGTAAGGAATACATCTTTATTATAAACAAAAGCTTGTGTAATTAACTATGCATTGATCGCTTTTGCTTCGTATTAAGTAGGTGTGATAATTCGGTCGAGCGAGCGCTCATCGCCAAGAGTCTGCCAGGTGGGGTGACATTCTGGCAGTATCGATCGAGCACAAATAGCTTACCGGTCCTACGATGTATACATTATGCCCAACCCTATGTTTGATGATACCCTATCCAGAATACTTTACAAAAGAATACGGTATGACACCAACAATAAAATGCATCTTAATTTATTTGGAATACATTTTTATTTGGAAGAAATCAATTTGAATCGATGGTCTTTACTTATACTTATATACGAAAGATATACAAAAGACAAAAGGGTGTGTTCTGCGTTAAAGTCAAATTTTATTAAAGAGAAAATAAAGAATTCCAATAATAAAGAAAAAACAACTTGGAATATAATAAACTGTAAAACCGGCAAGGAGCAAATACGTGAAGATATTCCGACACTTAACTTTAATAATACGACCATCAAATCTCATAATAACATTACTAGTATATTTGATGAGTATTTTATAAACATACCAATTGAAACAACATCTGGTTTAAATTCTTCACCAACTGCCGCAAAGGCTCTTTTAGAAAAATACGTGCCTAAGGTAGACATCCAATTTAAATTGAAATATATTAGTTTCTTGGATATTATTAAACATATCAAATTTCTGACAATAAATATACATGCAATTTATGGAGCATATTTCTTAATATTATTAAAAGTATTCTTCATGTTATAGCCCTTAGTTGGCTCATATATTTAACCGTTGTAAAGATGAAGAAATTTTACCAAATCCAATAAAGCTTAGCAAAGTTATACCTCTTTTTAAATCCGATAATAGAGAAGACCATAGTAATAACATACCTATATTAATATTAACGACGTTAAGTAAAATCTTTGAAAAAACAATTCTTGAACAGTTATTGTCTTACTTTAATTTAAATAAATTATTGCATACCAAACAATATGATTTTATAAAAGGTCGCTCTACTACTGATGCTGGTGTAGCACTTCTTAAACATATATTCAAGGCTTGGTAAGCGTCACAGAATGCTCTTAGAGTATTTTATGACTTATCCAAGGCATTTGATTGCATTTAGCAACAAACACTGGTAACAAAGCTAAATTACTATGGTATCAAAAATTCTGCCCTACAACCCTACGACTAATATTGTCGTACCTCAGTTTTAGAACTCAAACTATCGATATAAATGGTACGAGATCATCTGGTTCACAAGTAAAAATGGGGGTTCCCAGGGATCAATTCTGAGTCCCTTTCTGTTTCTAACATATGTTTTGCCTTTCTTCTTTTATATTTAATATTGATAGATGTAAAAATAACTTTAACGATGTAAACAATGCTCTCTCACAGATTATGTCTGGGTTTACTGTAAATATTGTCTAATTAAATGCAAAAAAAAATGTATAAAGTTTATAGATAATTATTTTATTGTAACACTAAACGCAACACACAACCACATTCTACAGAGAATTAAAAAAAATAAAGACATAATAGAAAAAATATTAACTAGGAATGAAAGGAGAAATGAAGGAACTAGGAAGTTTATTTTACCTAATCTAAAAGTTGAACTAACAGAAATTAAACTTAATGATGAAAAGCTCGAGTTGATTGATTCAACAATCTTCATGGGTGTAACGATGTATTCTAAATTGCAATGGCATCCTCATATTTCATTATTGGCAGGAAAAATAAGTTCAGCTGCCTTTGAAATAAGAAAAATTAGGCAACTCACAGATGTACATACTGCTAGCTCAGCATAGATAACTTCTGTTATCAAATATTTATCTATATTTATCAATAGTCTAAAAAAATTTAATAATGACAAATTTCCAGGCAAACTTTCATCCAATATTTTTCGCGATAAAATGTAGCCTTTGTCCTTTCTTAAAGTGAAGTCTATTTACTATATTAATTTCCATTAAGATAGATTAAGATCTTACCTTAAGTTATCGATACTAATACGATTCTAAAATCTAGCCTAGTATCGATAGTAGAACCATACGCTGATCAAATTAGAATTATACTGAGTTTGCCAAAGTATATTAAATATATGTATCATTTTATAATCTACAATAAATATTGATTATAAGTTTATTGGAAATTAACAAAATCGCCGAAATAAATATCGATTTTGCACAAATCGATTTTTTTTCCCAAGCCTTATGAATTTTCCGGATCACGGATAGAACAGTGCACAAGCGTAAACAAGTTTTTCATTGCCGCCATCACGGACCTGAAAAAACCGGTCCGAAATAGAGAAAAGTAAAATCCCGGACGGTAAAATTCCTGACAGTACACAGGCTAGCATTACCTTTATATGGTCTGACATATCGGACCGGAAAAAATCGGACCGCCGGACCTGAAAATTCAGTGTAGTGCACAAGCGCCCTAAAATTCGCACCTTCACGTTGATCCAAGATCAGGGGGCCAATTCTACTAAATAAAATTTGTTTAAATCGAATTGAAACCGAACGAAACTACAGTTTTTAATAGTTTTCCTATTCTACAAAGTGACATACGATACAATTCCTGTTCTATTTTAGCGCGATGTAATTAAACGTACTGCGAAAATAAATTGTTCACGCGTCCCTAATGAGGAAGTAATTTAAAAAAAACGAAAGCACTTAAAAAGCACCTCCACTAGATGGTGACTCTAGCAAAAGTTGATTTTTGAAGGAAACGAATGCACCAAAGATAGTCATTTCCGTTCATTTTAACTAACATAATAAAAAACTGAAACTTGAAAAGCTTGAAACTTAAATATGTATCAATCAATACAAATACGAAAAAGTGCAAATAGAATATGAGTTGATTATTGAGTTTTGAAAACTTATTTACTTTTAAACATTAAAGAAAACCGGATGGGTTGTCATGGAGAAATCAAGAACGTACCGTAGCGACATCTAGTTTCATTTCTAAAACAAAGTAGTTTTTGTTCAAAAAAATGATACAATTAGCTGTTTTTGCTAGATGACGCTATTATACTATTAAAACGTGGTTTCGATTTTTTTATGTTTTTCGTTTTTAATGTTTTTTTCGGTTTTTATCAAACAAAGTTGCTTTCATTTTCAATTTTGCGGTACCATAGTATAGGATTAGGGATGTGGGAAGACTGTTTTCCCATTTCGTTAACTGTCAAATATTAGGGATGTGGGGAGACCGCTTTTTGATTTTTCCTCGTTACGATTTTGAATGGAAACTTCTAATTGTAGATCGAAGGATGAAAAATGTAATTAATAAAGATAGTTTCACGGTGGTTTCAAGCTATTTTTTTAACAGCTATTAACAGCTAAAATTGGGTGATTCGTTTGTTAACATGAAGCCGCAACTTCGCGAAGCAGGCTTCGAACACTTGTGTTTACATTTTTATTTAACGTCAGACTCATTTTGCTATTTGTTTCATCAGAGTTAAGATGAAACCACACTTAGGTGTCGTATTGCGTTGGAATGAGGAAGTATTAAAAAATAAAAATTCTTAAAATTATTCTAGACGTCACTTCACTCGCGATGTTTGGATTTTGTTTATGATATTCATTCAAATTTTGTTTCTGACGTAATAAAAGTAAATTGAGTATCTAAAATTAATAAATATGACATCGTTTTGTGTTTCTTATAATATCTATTTTTCAAATTAATTTCCATTTAGTTTTATCGTAAGTTTAAATTGTTAATAATGTTACGTGTAAAGGAACGATGATTGGTTTATACGTCAACATTAGTGATGAGCCAACATGTTGGTTGCTCGTAACTTTCATCCGAATTCAGGTTTGGAATGAAGAACAAAAAGTGGAGCGCAGAATTCATTTTGTATTTGTATGTGTCATTATGCATCCACGAAACGAATGATATTAATATAAATATCAAAATCAATTCAGTCTAGGCTCATAGTACATATTTATGACAGTCGAAAACTTTGCCAGTAGTTCGCAAAACTAAGGCGGGTGATTTTGTACTGACAAGAATCGGCAAGAAACTCACCAAAGGCTGCTTTTTTAATTTCAACTATACTATATTTGTACTAACTGTACGTGTCTTTGTGATTTTGAAATTTAAAGTTATAACCTTGTTGTTCCTTTAGAACAGACGTTTCTTTGTTAATTACTGAATGTTTATTAAGACGATTTAATTATTACTATAAGATTTAATAACTGATCACAGTTTTTTAAAGTCTTAATTTCGAAAGTACAAGTTATTTGCACGTTTCACTTAGCACAAACGTCATTTTAGTCAGAAGTCATGTTATTTTCTACGAATACCTAGTATATTTGATACATATCGGGTAAGTATATTGATAATAAACGTATTTTTTACTATAATTATCGTTTTTATGACTTTTGTTACTGATTAATAAACCCTATTCATTCGTTCACCATACATAATATAAAAATATTATTGAAACTTGATGTAGTTTTGTTGTTGTAAGTTCAATAAACAACTAATAGCAATAAAACTAACTTACCTAGTTGTTATTGTTTTCAGAACTTTTGTTAAATATTATAATGAAAAATTCCTAGACTAAATAATGCACTACTCTTTGTGACTGGTGCATATGTATTTTAATTATTTTTAACGATATTAATTAATTAACATTGTAATGCAAAATGTATTAATCAAACGTAAAATAAATTTATTTTATATAAAGTATTAAAATCTTAAAGGATCTTTGAATCTATCTACTTACATACATGAAATCTATTCCTATTCTTTTTCAAAATTTAAATATAAAACAATTAAAAAAAGTTAAAATAGAAATCAATTTGCAAGGCCATACAGCGCAAACTCGTTACCAAGCGAACGTAAAATTCGATGGGAGGTGGCGCTGTAGTCGCGCATGCGTCGTTATCAATGACTGCCAACCACAGACAACTATATTTTATTGTAATCTGGCAAATTCCTTTATTTGTAGGTTATGTTTTAGTGTTAATGTTAAATTGTCAAAATTTATGTTGAATATTTTCCTGGAATTAGTTCATAGTTCCAAAATGGAGTGGACGTAAATAATCGTCTTGTGAATGTGTTTATTACTTGTTGAGTAGAGACTAATAGCATTTCCCGTCAATGGCTGTGTAATCTTGAGTGTCACTTGACATTGGATTGTAATGTGAATATTTCTATACGCACTTTATTTCCCAGGCTATCCATATTCTAAACTTTTGACTCAACTAATTCAAATATATAGTTTGCGGACTTCTTTATTCATATTTATATAAGATTCATCAGATAACAGTAAGATGACGAGTCAAGTATCGGTTTTGAAGTTATACAACACGGTTGTAGACGACGTTATATCTGGAGTACGCGATTGCTTCTTGGATGATGGCGTAGATGAACAAGTTTTGCAGGAGTTAAAACAATTATGGAAAACCAAGTTACAAGCAAGTGGTGCGATGGATCCACCGCAACCTGAGCCTACTATGCCTCCGCCGCCAGTGTTACAGAATTTTCAGAAAGCGAACGGTAACAATGTGCTTCCTAAAAGAACTATTGATTCTCACATGGCTCAGGGGTCCAGTCAGCAAAATACAGGTATGGAACATGGCCCTCCAGCACCTAATTTAGCTGGCACACATCCTCATCATGTCCTCGATCCCAGCAATAAAGTGCCTGTCCAGCTCACGCTGCCTGCTCAACCTGGTGTGCCTGGCTCCCAACCTCGTTCTTTTACAATTCAAATACCAGCCTCGGCTCTCAATGGAAACAAACTACATCAAGTTTTGACTGGCCCTATTATAAATGCCACAATAAGTTTGCCACAGCCTCTAGCTGCTACACTTTTACAACAGCATATCAACTCGGCCTTAGCGGGTCAACAAAACGAATTCGATGGTGGAGGTGGTCGTAGTGGTGCTGCACCGTTCTCATTAGATGGTGCATTAGACTCTTCTGATGATGATGGGTCTAATGTTGGAGATGGTTCAGATGATGGGGCCGGTGACGATGATGAAGATGAGGAGTCTGCTGAAGAGCGTGCTGAGGAGGAAGAGGAAGAGCGTGATGAAAGTGGAGGGGCAGAAGAGGAACCCTTGAACTCAGGTGATGATGTATCCGATGAGGAACCCGGTGACATGTTTGATACTGACAATGTGGTAGTTTGTCAGTATGACAAAATAACTCGCAGTCGTAATAAATGGAAATTTTACTTAAAAGATGGCATTATGAATTTAGCTGGAAAAGATTATGTATTTCAGAAAGCCAATGGTGATGCAGAGTGGTGAAACTATATTATTATAAAGGAGCTGTGTCTATTTTTTTATTGATGGTGTAATTTGTTATGTGTCGACTGGTAGAATATAAATTGAATGAGACCTGGACTTGTTTCAACATTACTTTGAGTCTATATTTTTAAATGTATTAACATTGACTTTGACTTGTTTTGGTAGATTTGAATGCTTGAAATTATGTTTCAGTTATTAGCATTTTACGATAGACCTGAGAAAGAATTATTATTATTGTATAACTTATTTCTAATGCTTCATGGAACTTAATTTAACTTATAACTTTGTGTAAGTTATAGGTTTATTTCAGTTGTGTATGTGTTTCGTTTCACTGTATGAAATATTGTGTAAGTAGATATTGATATTTTTAAATTATAAAGATTCTGTAACTTTTTAATATTCTTTATCATGAAATATAGTTAAAGTCAATGATATGCTCTATCAAAGAAACTAGAAATTAAGAATTGATTTGTGCTGTTTTGTAATAAGACAATAGATCATATGACGTGTGTGGTTGCAGCCTTACTAATATGACTATTATTGCTTCACTAGGGTACAATTTATGAATTCCCTGAGTGATTAACACATGCCTAAAAGTGTAGCAAATTTTGTGCCATACACAGAAAAATATTAGATTTTCTAAAGTTTTTTCTACTTTATCATATTAAAGGTAACAGGTTAGTCTTAGTTTAATTAACTTAATGTTTGCACGATATAATGTAAACATATTAAATAATAATGTGATGTAGATGTCTTTTTGAACAATCTACGTACATATCTTAGTGAAGCTTTAAAAGCATTTTATATTACAAGGCTCAATAAAAAGACATTGATTTTTGTTAAGTCCAATTCAACTAGAAATTGTGTAAGTTCATAACAATTTGTAAAAATCTCACTGTAACTGGATGCCTAAAATAGATTATTGTTAATAAGTCATTAATTTCCAAAAGAGCATCTGAAATTTGGAAGTTTATATAAGTATTGTATATTTTTAGGTATATTTATTTTGAATATGTTGCATACAGAGTGTCTCAAAAATCAATCTAAAGCAAAAATGTGTAGAATAAATCATAGTAGTGTATAATCAACAGCATATCAGGTTAACTAAAACAGTTAAAATACTATGAATATACCTACACCTTGATATTACAATTTATATTTGATAGTCAATCATGCCTGAAGTTAACTTTCAATACTATGAGGCGAGATTTGAATTGAATGTTGGGTTACCACAAAATGACAAATTTCTGTTATTAACTTTGAACCCTTAATGTAACGTGTTGTTGATTGTAAATTTAATTACAACCCTTGAAAAAGAGTCAAATATATATACACTGCAATGATCTTACACTACAGAGAACTTTGAAGTTTGTAAGTTGGTGCTGGAACAAAACTTACAATATAATATGAATATGAACTGCTTCAATAATTGAACTACTAAATGCTTTAGTAAGACTCACGAATTTTTCAATAACTTATTATTGTCGCTACTGGTTATGGAGGCAATTCAACTAAAGAACCAAAATAAATATTAAAATGTTTTTCCATAAGTAAGACAAATAATTTATTTTCTTATTAAAGTCACCGTTTAATTTACCTAATACTAAAATGCAGATGCTATTTACATTTAAAAGTAAATAGTGCATGTTTAGATTAGACCCACCTGACTTCGAACTATAATTTTTCACTATAACAATTCAAACACATGGGCTCAATTTTAACGAAAATATATCTTAATATCCAACCACATACTCGGTGATGCCAAATAAGATATTTCTGTCGTGATGTTGATTTTTGGAATAACCTGTATATAAATAATTAATTGTATTTCCCATTATAGTAAATTGTGTAATCGATATAAAATAATATTTGATATTTACACAATTTAAAAGTTAAATGTCATTTATTAAAAATATTTCTATTGATTTTTGTGTGCACCAAACATCTTTTGTTTTCTGAGACACCCACTTATTATTGTGATAAATTCATAGGAGATAATGTTATTTTGTAAAATTACTTTCTAACTAATATTGTTTAGGGTTGTGTCCGTTTTCAAAGCCAATAAGTTTTATAGTTATACTTGCATACCTACTTTCTCGACATAGTAAGTTACTTATGGTTTTTTAATCACTTAAATGAAAGAAGTTTGACGAAAATAGTAATAATAATATTAAAATATGTTGCATTAGCGTTGTCTTTTATTGCTTAGATATTTTTACCCTTTACTTTTTCTTTTTAAATGGATGCTTGACTTATTACGTGTCCAATTTTATGCGTTCGATCTTCGAGGTGGAGGTTGATCAACCTTTGTGATGACGAAATTGTATGTACTTATCCCATGATGGGTGGTCAAAAATTTATTAATTCGAGCTGCTCCGTGTTTCTGAAAGCACTAAGTCGTAGGTCCTGGGTCTAACTACACTATTTTTTTTTTGTTAAGAAAGGAATGTCCTCATATAATGTGTGTATATAAACTTTGATAAAATGCCCAGACAGTTATTATCAATACAGTATTTTGAGAGACATTTAAATGATAATGCGGTAATAACTCAGTATAGGAGATACAATTATGGTGCTTCTATAATGATGCTGACGTCAGAGATGACGACAGCGACTCTACAAGACTCGTTTATCTCCGGAAACAACGTACCTAACTTGGTAATTTGACTTTATTTCGTCAGGGACTGATAAACTGTTGAATAACATTTCAAAAGTCGTTTCCGTAGGTACTTATATATACCTATTTTACAAACTTACCGACCGTCTGTAGTGATTCATAATGTTCGGTCTTCCCGTATACACCTACACTTACATAAAAAATAAATTAGATGAGTACTAGGTATATCTTTTTTCTCTATTTTATTCCATATGATGACTTACATAAATAATAAAAATAAGATTTTTGGAAATGCACAAAGTCGCCAAAATAATGTAGGTATAATCAACATCTGTATGTGTCTAATAAAATAATGTTCTGTTTTATGTAAATTCATTCATTCTAAACCATTTTATGTTGTATAACCGGATCTTCTACGAGCTCCGTAGAGCGCGCGACAGGAGCGCACTCCACAGGACCCACGCGTAGTATAACGAACTCGAGAACGTTTTGTCTACACTCAAATATCACTTTTCTTGGGTGAAAGAAAGTGACATTTGGGTGTAGACAAAGCGTTTCTCGAGTTTAGCGGGTCGAGAGTGAGATGTTGTATGAGCGCACCCGAGAAAAGTGACATTTGGGTGTAGACAAAGCGTTTCTCGAGTTTAGCGGGTCGAGAGTGAGATGTTGTATGAGCGCACCCGAGAAAAGTGACATTTGGGTGTAGACAAAGCGTTTCTCGAGTTTGTCATGCTACACGTGCAGGCTGGTGTATAAGGTTCAATGAAAACAATCACTATCTGAAATATTTTTAACAACTTTAAAAAAACATTGTATCCATTCGTCTGATTTTTTACGAGACAGCCCAAAAAAGGAGTGAATTGCTTAGGTTTAATGTATTTATGTGAGATTCTTTAGTCCACGATAACTTTTAAAAGACTTATGTCCGAATATTATTATGTGCTACTGGAATGTTATTTATTAAGTACTTTTGAATAACTACTGAGAACATTCCAAACTACTGGGCTTGTCTTTTTCTTTTTAATTTTAGTGAAAGTAATTATATATTTACTAACTATAATATGAGTATTGAATTAAAAGGCTTATTATCACAATTATTTCAAAAAGGTATACCGTAATACTTATAAAAATAATACTTTTAAATGTGGACGTTCTCGTTTTCTCGACCAACTTAGTAATTTGTCTAACTAATAAGACACAAATAAAATAATTTTAATTTAAGTTCCAATCTTTTCACTTGATTTTCTATAAGTTATTTTTAGATAGGCGGGTTTTATCTCAAACCCATTCAATCTTCGACATTTTCACTTAATAATATTCAACATAAAAATTTAAGAAAAAAAAAAATCTTTAAATAGGTGAGGTGTCTATTTAAAAGGGTATTTGAATTACTTTGAAAAATAGTTATAAATAGTTCTTTCTTACATTAATGTTTCAGGAAAATTTACTGTATTTATCAAAAAAAAAGTTAAAGTAAGTATACATTTCCGAAACTGCAGGAAAAACGCTATGTCTAACATAAGCCGCCACCGTATGGCGTCATATGCAAATAAATAAACAAACCTCATCAAATTAAAATCGTCAAAAGGGAGCCATATTTACTAGCTTTTAACGTCATCGGCGTTGCAACCACTTACAAGGCGTTTTCGTCACAGATAAAATATCAAAACATATTTTATTTATTTTGTCTAATCTGCAAAAAATATACATTATTTCGTTTAAAATTAAGTGTTATTACGCTATTATATTATAGAAAGACCACAATTTTCAATGTAATTTTATTGTTGTCAAATAACCGTCTTTTGAATCTTATTTATGGTTTTGAAAAAAATTTATCATAAAATTATTTAATTGAGTTTGAGGCAAATGTCTTCGTCGCCGAATGGATGGAATTCAATGCGCTGAACAAAACCAACCAATCAGAGCGAGAGGGCGCTCGAATTTGGTTTCGGTCGTAGTTTCGGCAGGTAGGTACCTATATCCGCATGTCGGTGCCGTAAAAATCCCTAAAGTTTTTGTAACATAGAAAATGATAGTAAAGTCACACCTTGTTTGTCATCAAAATACTTACTCAAATAAAATAGGTTTTTTTTTTCAAAAACTAGGACAATTAAAAATTTGGGAAAAACATAAAATTTACAAAAGCGGGTAACAAATTCAAAGAACTTCATTAAAGTTGGGCTGAGCGGTAAAAAGCATTATCCGTAAATCCTCGTCCGAATCCAAATGCTTTGTTATTTTATAAGTATTTTTTTCTTATGTTGAATCAAAATAAAATGGATATGTAATTTTCAATGTTCTGATAACAAACAACGCTATTGAAATAGAGGAAACCGCAGTTGCTTGTGCATTCTATTTGCGGTCAGCTGTTAGATAGGTATGTCCTCGTTTAGTTGGATCGTTAGTTATGCAGGGAAAATACCACATTAAGTTACGCCAATACATACATATCTAAATTAATGAAAAAATATATATGTCGAGCAAATAAAAAAAAACTCCTTTTTTATCATATTCACTATTTTTAATTATTGTATAGATATTCAATATTTTAGTTGTATTATTGTTGTGATTTGTTCAGAATTGAAATTTAATGAGGAAATCTATACTATAATAAAAACGTAACCGATCGATGTCTGTACATTGAAGATATATGAAAAAAACTGTTATGAGGGACATTTATAAGCGTAATAGAACACAAAACAATGATTTTTAAATTTTTTGTCTGTTTGTCTGTGCGTTTGTGCACGATAATCTCAGAAATGGCTGAACCGATTTAAATGCAGTTTTCACAATTATATTACGGCATTCTTCCGTTAACATTTAGTGTAAGATTTATTACAATCGGTTCACAAATAAAAAAGTTATGTCAATTTGAAGTGACGCGGTCGCCAAAATTGCTATGAAATATTAACTGTTTTATTAAATTTTCGTCTTTGATATATTGATTATCATCATTTACTCTTTCACAGCCAAACTACACGGCCTCAGGCCTTTGTTTAATAATTTTTGGCCACCCATCCCGTGAACAACTCTTGCGAAAATTACTTAGCAATAACGATCGTGCGCAGCGGCGCATATCCGTGGCGCCAGTGAGCTACGAAATAATATTGTCTATATAATGATAATTTGTATGATGACAAATAAAAAAATAAGATTCCAAAATTTACAACAACTCCGAAGTAAGTTGACCTCATTTATATATGGCCAATCATTTTAAATAGTTCAGCTTATAATGGACATGTGGTATACGAACTCGCGAGTAGGAGAACAAGCGGATAAAGCCTTCCGATGATGCATTTAAGCCTCGAGTAGTTTACAGTGAACGCATATTTTTATCAGATTAGTTTCACGTCGTTGTCGGGGCCAGCGGAGGTGGTTGGCAGCCGCTCCCGCATTTCACGGTTTCGTCTGTCTGGGAGAGGCACTCGGTTTACCCGAGTCTCTCCAATTTTCCATCTGAGGGGAGAGCGGGGCTGGTTTTAACGGGGGTAAGAATTAACAAGGTTATTCCCGCCAAACGGGCAGTTCTATTAATGTGGTACTCGGTTTAGAAGTACAATGTACGTAGCCGAACGCGTCCCGACCGGCCAGTTGCCGGCCGGTCGTCGCTTGTAATAGTTGTGCGTAGCGACCTCGGATTGACAGGTAAGCGAACTTTTTTTGCTTTGCAATAAATTGATTTGTAATTAATTTATTCTTAGAATCGATTTAATGTGTATCCTATATCGAAGTCTATTTTATTGACAATGGCACTACATTTTTTATTTGTAATTATTCGCATTAGTTTTTTTTTGTGACTATTAAAGTATAAAAAGTTATTATGGGGCTAAAATTAACAAAATGAGTGGGGTAAGTATTAACTTGTTAATACTTGCCCCGTGTGTATGCGGTGATAGGCAAATGTTTTTTTTTATTATTTTTACAGAATGCGAAATTACACAAGGAAGACTTTCAAGGGGGTCCACGTCTCAAGAAGTATATGATCTTGCAGCTAAGGAAGTTCTTGAAAATAATAGAAAATACAGAGATGTAGCCACTGAATACGATATTTGTCATGTGACGCTGTTTAAATACGTAAAGAAAAAAAAGACGGGCACTTCCTTGGAAGTGGGCTATAAAAAAAAACCGTTTAATTTTTAATGCACAACAAGAAGCCATAATAGCAGATTATTTAATCAAATGTGCCAACATCTATTTTGGATTGTTACCTGATGACGTCAAGAAATTAGCCTACGAACTTGCCATTCAATACAAGATCGATAATATTCCAGAATCTTGGAATCGAGACGGAAAGGCTGGCAAAGATTGGTTTGCCGGTTTTATGAACCGCAATGCAACATTGTCTATTCGGAGTCCTGAAGCGACCAGCTTAAGCAGGGCATATTAAGTACAAGTTATATTAAGGTTAACTAGACTATTATTACATTATTAAGATACTTAAAGACTGACATTAAGTTTAAAGACTGTGCTTTAACATAGGAAGGTTTGAAAATATTGCCACTGTTGATATATCATAATGTTTTGCTGTACCTCATTGAGAATCTTTAAGACTGTTAACACTAAAAAGTTTACGTAACTTCCAAATATTAAGTTTAAAGTATTTTTACTAACTTTTGTAAGCTAAAAAAAACAATGACTGTTGATTAGTGTAGTAGTAAAATATTTTTTGTAAGCAAAAAGAGAATGATTGTTAATTAGTGTTATAGTAAAAGAATATATATATTTATTTAAGTTCCTGTCATAAGAAGTACTCATTTGTTTAGTTCTAAAGATAATAAAAGCGTTTCTATTAATATGAATGAGATTTTATTTAACTCTCTTATTGAATTTATTCTCTGTTAATAATTGCCCCTTACGTTAATACTTACCCCAGCTCTGTTAATATTTGCCCCAAACACGGGGTATGTATTAACAAATGTTTTTTTTTTGTTTTTATGATGACAACCCTGAAAGTACTTATCTAATTCA